AATGGCTTGATAACTAGATACTGTGTAATGTGCTATAAGCAGTTTGTATAATAACTATCGTGAAACATACAAAATTAACTAAATATCGCGGGTTACTCACGTGAAAATGGCGTGAAAAAGGCTAAGCGACATCGCGCGACCGCGCACACTAAGTACTCATGAGGAAGAAGAACCCCTCTGTGGTTCGAAACTAGTAGAGTTCAGTATATTCACGTGAGTGACCCGCGATTTTTAGTGAATGTGCTATAGGTTTAATTTCTGCTTGATTGAACCTTAAAAGCTCATGAGTAAATATGTAAATAAATTCTACTTGTAAGGGTTATAACCTAAAATACACTATATCAATATTAAACTGTCAAACACCAAGCGGTCACCGGTGACCGCAACCTATTGTTCTATAATTGTATCTACAAAACCGGTACTCGACGAGTTAAACTTAAATAAAATATATAAAATCAGCTATACAAACGATCGGTATAATCAAACTCCCGTTTAGAGAGCGTGACAGACACACAGTCGTCTTCACGTTGTGTTCTTACATTTGGATCAATAAACTCTATTGATTTACTAATCAACTGTGATGAGTAAGTAATAGATTAATTTTGCTACGATACTTGTAGGAGGAGATTAGTAAATTGGCATGTTATACATATAGAGTTACTGAAAATATATTTATTATACCTTATTATATATTTTTGCGGTGGACTAATAAGATGAATTGAGCTTTTTGCCCTATTTTATTTATTGTTAATTATTTTTCCTTGTCAACAAAGTATGTCTGTCTATTATAAGTAGTATTCAACCACTTTTGCATAAAAAACGAAACATGAATTGGAACTTCACCTAACTTTAGTAGGTAATTTATGGGTAAACGAAACTACACGTTTCGTTTACCCAAGTTTAAGTAATCTTTATAAATCGTTAAAAGATTAACTTGTCTAACAAAATGAAAAATGAGGTTTAGAACGAACAATTAACTAACAATTTCACGTAAAAAAACTTCGTGTTAATCTGTATTTAATATACAACCGCAAATCGATTGTAATTCGATTACGTTACCATTACATTCGCAAAAAACTCGATGCTTTCGTTCCGTAGGCGCAGGCGGCGAATAATCGTGCGTTTTTATCGATTACAATTATCGATTCGGTTCGGTGTCGATCACACGAATGTCACCAGGTGGTACCTAGGAAATCGATCGTTCTCACATATTGTTACGTAATTTATAAATTGACTTGTGTGTGAGAGTTTCTTATTTTGATCTTTGTGTCCAATTTTCTGAAGATATTGTTTATAGTTTACAATTTTGCATAAAGAAACAACAAAAAGCTAATACCTACATAAGTCTAAAACTAGTATTTTTCCATATATGTATAAATAAGCGATTCATTTATTACGCAGGTCATGGTACATATGTATATCTACCGCTTTTGTTTACCTAAGATTGAATAATTAATTTATTCTGATGACTATCAAGGATTTGTTCTACAAAATATTAACAATTAGTTCTATATATATTTAGAAAAGATAGAAACATAATCGAATTGTATCTCAGGAAGCTTTTTCCCTGTCTAGTAAAGGTCGATAAAATCTAAGTATATTTTAGGTACCTACGCCTGATTTTGCAGACGAACAGAAAGATATATTTATTTTATTGATTAGGGTTAATCGGACTCCATATTTTTCATCAAGTACTTAATATCAAATTACTTTATTGAGAAATGTTGGCAAGTAACCATGGTATCGATTGCATTGCCACGTCCCTTTCTGTATCACGATTTAATAACTCAATATATGTTAATATTGTTAATCTATAGCCGCCATCTTGAAATTTGATATTCTTGTAACACTGTGATGTCATTATTGTTGTTATTTTTTTTATTTCTTTTGTTTTGTCGATTTGAAAGCGTTAAATGGCTATTATTCGAGTTTTTATTAGTTTTCATTAGATAAACAAGGTTTGTTAGTAAAAAATATATAAAACCTTAATATACTTACTGATCTTTAGGCTTTCTTAGACCCTCTGTTGCGCATAGTTTAAAAGACGTGGAAATAGGTCTTCCAATAATACTAAACCGAGATATTTCAAGACAATATCAACATCTGTTACATGGTTGTGTTGATGTACATGTTACATGGTTGCACTGTGTCACAACCATGACGCGAGAACTAACTAGTCTAAGCCTTTACTACTCGGCCACCAAGATACAGGCTTTGCCTAGTTTGGGGCCCACGGGGACCTCTGCCGTAATTGCGTTTATGTGATCATGCTATTCGCTTCCATATCTACATGTAATCTAACTTGTGTATGCCAATATTTTTTTTATCTCACTGAAATAAACACAAACTATCCGACACCAAAGGAAACCTACGCAACATTTCAACAAGTAACATCAACCATTTCTCGGAGGCTGAACAAAAACAAGCCGACACACAGTTACATAAACTGAAAATACTATTGAACCATAATATTAATCAACGGTTCGGTAATATAGTGAACAGGTTTCATACTATGTATGTTATATAGCTACTATGTATACTATTATATACTACGTGTGGTCGAGGTCAATGGCCGATGTGCTGCGCTCTGAAATTTCACTTTCAATCGCTTCGTCTCGACCAGTGTCGCATCGGTGATAGGGTTGACTCGCGGCTTGGCGTTTTGCGAATTTCATTACTTTTATTGTTACTTAAATTTGTATAACAACAAAGGTGGTTGTGTAGGTCTAATGACTATTAAAAGGGCGGCTAGGTATGATATGTTAATTTCTTTTCACGAATTCGTAGTTAAGACTTGTTGATAAATAATTTACGGGCGATAAACGAGGAATAATAAATATTAGGAAATAATGTAGCACAACTAAGGTGATTTAAAGAGTTATCATTAGTTTCACTTACAGTTATAATTTAATAAAAACATATCCATAGTACTATAAAAAATTTAAAAATTCGTAAGTAAGTACCTACCAATACCTATACAATTTTACTTCCATAGTTCTTAATACTATGGAACTACATTTAATTAACTG